GTGATCCGTTCCAAGTACCCCATATTTCAGGAAGGACACTGACATAAGTTAAACAGCATCCAGTAGAAGGCAACCAGGAATGGTAACAGGTCTCAAGTTCACGTCATATGAAGACTGGGTGAGGGAACTGGGGATGTTTAAACATGGTAAATTCAGCCTCAGGGGCAACACAATAGCTATCTTCAAGCAGAAAAAAGCTTTTCTGTGGAAGGAAAGGACTTGTTCAGCTTGGCTTCAAAGGGTAGAATCAGGAGGAATAGGAAGCTATGAACAGGCAAACTGAGGCCTGATGAAAGGGTTAACAATTAGAAATATCCAAACTAGAACAAACAGGCTACCTCTGAATCTAGATTTCCCCCTCACGCCAGGGTCTCTGGCAAAGATCGGATAACTAATCATTCAGTCTGTGGAAGTAGGTTTTCTTCTCAAGGAAGAGGTTAGAAAAGATGGCCTTTGAGGTAACTTCCAACTCTGAGATTTTTATTCTCTTCTAACACGGAAGAAAAGATTAGTAATCACCATAATAAGCTCAGAGCAGAATTTGCCTTTAAATATTACATTTTAAAACAAACAATAAAGAAGTTCCACATTAAATTTTGAACTCGCTGAATTATGACACATTTTAACAATGCTCAATAAGCACAAATAGGCAGGTCTTTAGAAAGAGAATGTATAGAACAGATTTTACAGAAATATTTCTATATGATCAACAATGACCAAGATTAGAGAGCCACGGGAGCTGTCTCCCAAAATCAACACGTAGCCTATCAGAATGACTACATTGTCTGCAAGCATAAATCAATTCTGTTCTAAGCCAGTTGTGATTTGACACATTAATGTTTCTCTCTAATCTGCAGTCTTCACATAATGTTGTCCTTGGGCAGTGTCATGAAACTACCTTCTGAGTGAGGCTGAAGGTCATTCTGGAGTATCAATAACTAACATCTCTTGGATGGGCCCATGTTAAAAATGGATCTGCTTTACAATAAACATGATTACATCACAGATTTTAGTGAGGCTCCAGCATATTTAGCATCCTCTATCACCAAAGTGAAAATAAGTGCCTCTGAAACAAAATGACAGAGGTGCTTAAAGGGGAAAATAGAGAGAAGACTTCATTTCTAATACAGACTAATGACAAGATTGTGCACCTCCTAGTTACTTCGTGTACTAATGGGCAATTACAAGAAAACAGAAAACTCTTGTGTTTGAAAATCCAATCCAAAAGATCAAAAGTAGTTTAATATCGCAAGGATGTTCAATCTTAATTTAAGCAGTACTTCAAATTTAAGGAAACAATTTACCAGTTGCTTTAAATAAAACAAATATAAAAATGCATGCATTTGTCCTAAATGGTCACTTATATGCTTGCAGCTAAACAAACCTGTATTACACTATTCAATTTGCTCATGTCAGAAACTGATTTTCATTAAGCCTCAACAGAAATTAAAGGAACATATCCTTTGAGGTATTTTAATTACAAGTAGCATCTGTACCATGTAAAGAGACTGGTTCCACAAAATAAATTATCAAGTAAAAAAATATTCATCCTAATTAAACAGAAGTTCATTCTTTAAAAGCCTTAAAAATTAGACACCTAAATCAAGTGTATAAGCATATGTATATGCATATCAAAATCAAGAAGAGAAACACTGAATGGAAATCTATTTATTAAATTATCATGTTTATGTCTCTGTCCTAGCAGCTATATATTCCAATAGTGTATTCTTCTGCCCATTCTGAAGACTTAATCAGTTACCTTCCTTTAAAAGTTACATCTTTTTAACATGAATTACACCTACAATTATAATAAATTAACTCAATACAAGTCTAAATCTCTCATATACAGAAGAAAACTACCATTTAATACAATCTGTATCTGTACCTTAAATACTTGCGAACGAATATTTCTTCTAACTCTCCCCCCAGAATACACTTTTATTCAGATTTCAGTCATGCTTTAGTCTTTCTGCATCCTTACTTAGTTCCTTTGTTTAAAAAAATGTATTTCAATATCTTAAACTGAGAAGAAACTTCAAACAACCAAGCCTGCCTGTATATTTGTAAAAATGCAAAGACTACTAGAAAACTACAATGTAACAGTAAAACATGTTTAGGAAAAGGTTTTTGAAATTATTCTTATCCAAAATGTTGTAACATGTGAATCAGTAGAACATGGATGCATATAGACATATTCAGATACAATTTTAAGCAAGATAGTACACATAGCTAAAGTTTTTATTCATGCCCTCAGCCTTAATAAAGCTAATTCTATCTCTATTGCTATCTTCATATGACATAGATTTTGCATTCAACAAACATCTATTAGGTGCTTCTTTCAAGAGCCCTGGGCTATAGCAAGGCTATGAGCAAGATTACAAATTTTAGGTAAGACAAGACACTTGGCCTCATGAAGCTTAAAATCGAATAGGGGGTGAAGATAGAAATGAACATAACTTAATTGTGATTTTACTTCAGTGTACTAAAGTGTTGTAAAACAGTGTTATGTGAGATCTGAGCGGGAAGGTCATACTCTATACTGCATATTATAATATAATGCTCCCCATAATGCATGAGGCAGATGAGACTAATCTTTCACATTTATCAAATGACAAGAGTACAATTTTATCCATGAGATAAAGACACAATTGAATAGGTAACTGTGGCCTTGAAAGCCAATGAATAGGGTTAAAATGTAAATACGCTGGTAAGAAAACATAAAAACATGAACACGAGACTGCTGCTTCATCAACACTAGAATACACAGAATATTTAAGAACTGTACATACAACATGAGTAAACAAGTGCTAAGTTACCAGTTCACAACATTCCAGAAGCAGTGAGCAACAGGGAAAAGAGCTGGTCTTGGAAGATTTCTGACCGTGAGACCAAGGACGCGTCATTTAACCTTTTCTGAGCCTCAATTTCCTTCCCCTGTAAAACGGGGACAAAAACATTTCTTGTCCTATTAACCTTCACAAGTCTGTAGGGAGAAAAATGTTTTCTGTACTCTACATACCGTGATCTGTTATTTTAAAATAGTGAGACTGACCGTGCAAATTCTAACTCCAGACCTTGCTCTCATCTGGGATTTTTAATGGGGAGCCCCTCCCTACCTACCCATGAAGTTCAACTGTAATAAAACTAACAATTTCTAAAACTTGAGTATTTCAGTCTGTAACCCTAAATACTTCATATATACTGTATATGGAAAGAATAACTTAGGATGCACTTTTAAATAAAACTGCCCCTAACTAGATGTTTCTCTTGTCAACAAAAGTCAATTTTTTAAATGAAAATTTCAGTGGAAATCTTGCAAAATTTGTCATTTTGCCCATACGCATACCAAACAATTACAAAAATCAACTTGGCACCAGTAACAATGCTGATAAAGACTACTTCTAAAGTATATCACCTTTCTGATGCAGCTAATTTCCTTTTTTTCTTCCCCCCAAAACTAGTACACTCATTGCCTCAGATTAAAATTACATATATATATATATGTATATACGTAATATATTTGCACATATATGCACATAACTGAACAAACCGAACACACTGCAGCCTAGAACCCGTTTCTATACTCCAGTTAAAAACCTGGCTTAATTAGGATTTGCCACATTCCTACAGGTCTGAACCGCACCTCCCCCCAATGGAAAGAACAGGGAATAAAAATAGGAACACATATTTTAGCACCTATGAAACTAAGGAAGAATTACTTCCCTTTGTAACCACTTATGTCTTATGTATACTCACAATGAAATTTCAGTAGCCAAAGTTTTTTTAAGTGAAAAAGCTCAATACCACACACTCAAACTGAAGCTCAATATCTGCAACCACAAAACACAGATAGGCAAAAGATCATACTCTGAAATTAACATTCTAGTTAAAGGGGAATTACATTGTCAAGGATAATACTCTGAAGTCAAGGAATTTTCAGTTAAAAGGTGGAGCTCTGTCCTTAACTCACCCGTCTGTGACTCATTTTTGCAGAGTATATGGTAAGAAATAACAGTGACTGTTCAAGGATCCTTGCAGTTAACACCCAAAACAAAATCACAGCAGAAATGCACCCAGAATTATGTCTAGATCTCGGAATCATCCAAAGCAAGGTTAAACATCCGCAAGGTCCCGAACTAATCATGTTCCCGTAAACCCCTGGCATCTCCCAGCTATCAGCACTCACATAAGGCAGGCGGAGACGCAGGCTTCCCCAGCCCGCACCCCGGCCCCGTGCGGGGGCCAGCGGGAGCCCTCCCTCGGCCGGCCCCACTCAGTCCGGGCCGCTGCCCGCATCTCGCCAGGGCCCAGGCCCCTCGAGCCCTCACGTGGCCCGGCCGGCCCCGCTCGGAGCCCGGCGGGCAGATGACAATTTCGCCGTCGCCAGGCCGCGGCGGGGCTCCGGAATCCTCGCACACAAAGGAAGGGATCCAGCAAGATTGCCCACAGAGCCCTCGGAGGGGATCGATTCCACAATGGCCTCCGCGGCAAGCACAGGGCGAGTCCGCCCTCCGCCAGCGAGTTTATCCTAACAGCGAGTGACACGAGCACAAGTCACACATGTCACGGAGAGAGCGAGGAGGGGAAAACAGGGGACTGGGGAAGCAGTGTCCGCGGCAGGCGGGGGCTGCTGCCCTGCCTGGCCGCGGGGACCCCCGCCCGCGCCGGCCCCCCGGCCATCCCCGCGTCCCTGGTCCTGCGGATCCGCGGGGCCGGGCAGGCGGGTGCTCCCGCAGCCCCCGCGCCGAATCCTCGCCACTAAACCCGGCACGGACGCGTCGGTCGGGGCGGGCTCAAGCTACAGGTTCTCCCCAGCCCAGCAGCGGGGACCGGGAGGGCTGCCACCCCGGAATGATGGAGCCTTCCTTCGTGCCCACCAAAGCCAAGGGCGCGCGTGACAAGGGGGATGGGGGGGATCCTCGAATACACGTCGGGAAGGAAGGGTAAGGGAGTCCGGGGGTCCCGGAGCGCCCTCAAGGTCACGGTCGGGGGGCGCTCACCTGTCCCGCCCCTGGCCCCACGGCCGCGGGAGGCCACTCCGAAGACCGCCCGCGGGCCGGCGTGGGCAACAGGAGGGGAGCTCACTGGCCGCCCGAGCCGAGCCCGCGGAAGGGGCAGTGCGGCCCAGGCCGGAGCGCGCACGCAGCCCCGCGAGGCGGCCGTCCCGGAGCGCGCCGCCGCTGCAGCCGGGGCCGCCTCGGAGCTCTCCAGGCGCGGGGCGGGGCCGCGGCCCCAGGACTCCGAGGAGGACGGAGAAGCGGGACTGGGAAGCAAGGCCGGGAAGCCGGGGGGGCGGCCGGAGCGCGGCCCGGTCGCCCACCCGGCCCGAGGGGACGGACGCTCACCCGGCTGCCGGCCCGGCGCTCCTTCTCGGCTCTCGGCACACGCACGCGCTCCACGCGGGCCACTGCCGCTCCGGCTCTGGCCGCCGCCGCCGCTGCCTCGGCTGGGCGCGGTCACGTGACGGGCCCCGCGGTCCGGGCGGGGGAGGGGAGAGGGGACGGGGGCGCCCGCGCTCCGCTCGCTAGCGCCGCTCGGACCGCCGAGGGTGGGGCGTATATCCATAAATCTATCCATCCATCCATCCATATATGGTTTTCTATAAAATCTATACATATATAAGTTTTCTATAAAACCTCCCCCTCCACCACCACCCCCCCAAGATAACTGCATTTTGTCTCCGGTTCATTACCTTTGCTTGTACTTAAAGCATCATTGCCCAGACCTTGTCTTCGGGACTCTCAGCAGCAGCAAAAATCGTGTACGGGTGTGATACACAACCCCGCTTTATGAGAGCCTGAAGATGAGTTCTGCAGAGTTTCCTCCTTTTTTTTTTCCCCTTAGCTGCAGGGCAGACAAAATTGATGTTGGCAACACCTTCTAAAAAGCTGCAGACATAAAGTACTGTATTATCCTGATCTACACAAAAGACTTTTTTTTTTTAAGCAGCTGTGCCAGGTTAGCGGAGATAGGTTTAAAAAAACGCCCAGCAACTTTAGAATTTGCTCGTGCTCCTTAGGTTTATTCTTTTGGAATAATGCATGTTGTATTTTCAATGCAGTTTTCCTGTCTCACCAGGTATTCTCCCAGGACAGCACCAGTCTCCGGAGTTTTGCCCGTGACTGTCGAAAATTAGCATTGGCCAGAATAATATAGCTCCCCCCTTCTCTTTGATCACCTTGAGGAAATTGTTTTGTATAGTCCAATACATTACTACCCTCTCATAATGCTATTTCAAAGCTTCGTGGCAGGAAAATAGATTAGTTAAGTACATTGCTGCTTTAGTAAACTTGAGGATTTTCATCCTCTGAAAATTTTTCAAAAGGATTCAGAGATATTTAAGAATCTTTGGCTTTCCTCCTGCTTTTCTCCAAGGAAGTCTCTGAAGAAAATTCAATTATACGTTTTACTTTAATCAAGTATTTGACATTAAAGTTATGTCTGAATCATCGTTACAGTACACTAGCAAAATGGATAATGAGTAAACTAGGATCTGTTCATTTTGTTGGTCTGTTGCAGTCCAAATTTATTTATTACATGCACTTGAAGTTCTGTGGTCATGAAAATGACCCAAAGTTCTAATTTTAGAACATGCTTTACATAGAGCCTCTTTTTACTGGTAATCATTTAAGTCCATTACATTTCGTGTATATCAGCAAAATAATTGTATGCCTCAGAAGCTACTGTACTTTTCATCCAAGTTATTTTTTTTCATCCAAGTTGTTTTTAACAGTTTCTTCAGACAACACTGAAAATGCAGTTCTAAAGAACATATTAGAATAATCATAGGATTCACTTAGAGATGCAAAATTTTTAATGCCACATAAGTGTTAGTTATTACTCTTGGTATTTTTCCCAAAGGATTAACACAAGATTAGTGGTATTTGGTGGTGAAGAGGCTAGAGTACTGGGCTTGGAATCAGGAAGACTCATCTTCCTAAGTTCAAATCCGGCCTCAAACTAACTGTGTGACCCTAGGCAAGTCACCTAACCCTGTTGGCCTCAGTTTCTCATCTGTAAAATGATCTGGAGAAAAAAATGGTAAACCACTCAGCATCTTTCCCAAGAAAACCCCAAAATGCAGTCATGGAGAATTAGACATGACTGAGCAACACGTTTTCTCTACCATATATCAAGAAAGTATTCTTTGGCTTAAATTTTCCCTTTGAACATTAATGCAACATAGCAGCGATTTGAACAAGCTGAGTTAAAAAATGCCATATATACATACAAAATATCACAAATATATAAATATGTGTATCTTCATGATCTTGAAGTTAGGTTGCTTTCTTATTATTTAGTGTTATCTGGTAATCTTAATACATACTGAGAAGCTACATATTCATAAAAGTAATTGGGTCCTTAAGTATCAAATCAACTAATATTTTAACAGACTTGATTTTAATTAAGTTCTTATAACGTGACTATCAGAACAGAAATGTAAAGCAAGGCCACGTGCAGCAAATCATATATTCAAATTTTTTGAGTGTGTTTGGTTAAAAAGTGGGGAAGAACCTAACATTTTAGCATCATTGCTGTAAATCCTATCAGTTTGAGACCAAGCATACTCGTATACTCTTAGTCACTGAAGAAAGTTCCCTAATATTCTAAATGTGGTTGAGGCTAAAGGGTTGCCGCATTAGGCACCTGACACATATAGACTTCCCTCTGTTTGCCATGTTCTGCCAACCTGAATCTGGCAAAGGGTGAAGAATCAAAAGAACATCAGTAAAAATTCATTCAATATACCAGTAAACTCTTGGACCATATTTTCATACTCTTTTGATGACTGCCATTCCCTATAAACAGGTCATTTTATTTTAGAGAGGTCAGGTTATTTTAGAAAATGCTGAAGACAAGTGACAATGTATTAGAGGGAAAGAGAGGGGAATGCAGTTCTTCAGAAGAAGATGCCACCCAATTACAGAAAGTTCCACTGGCCCACATCCCTTGGGTGAGATGGCAGAAGCAATACTTTGCTAAAAATAAGATAGAAATGATGATCACTATGCGTCATTGCATGGAAAAACATTTTTTCAATGAATTTAATATCAGGTAGTCCAAAGGTTTTATAGAATTAAAATTCAAAAGGCAAATATGTTTTCACTATTCATTCAAAAAAAAATTGAGTTCCTAAGTATTTATTCACATTAGGACATGAAAAGAAGTCTAAGAACTCCTCCACACACCAATCCCCCCCCCCTCAAGTCCACATATTCACACACAAAGAGCTGGTAATGTAGCCAAAGAGGGAAAAAAACCCAAAACAACCAACATTCATCTAACAGAGAACAAATAAATGTTCAACCATTTGGAGATATAATTGTGGTTATAGTGCTTGGAGAATATAACATGGAAGAAGTGGATCTTGAAGAGTGAGTAGGATTTAAACAATCAGGAAAAGGGAAGACATGCTGGCACTGGAGGAGGAGAAATGAAAGAGGAAGAGAATGAGTTAAAATATAGTATTTAGGATAATAAATATGGCATTTTCCCATTCTTTTCTCTCTTATTTTTCACAGTATGACAGTAGTAATAATTTGTGTGTGTATATATACACACATATACGTATGTATATATGTGTGTATGTATACATACACATATGTATTCATATTTGAAAAGTATCGCATGTATACATATATATAATATGAATGTATAACATTTACCCATTTTGAATATATAAGATTGTGACTACTGTCTTTCCATAAGTGAGACTTTCACTTAAAGTTCTCCCCCCAGCAGTAGCGGTAACTTGGGTTGTATCTTCCATTTCAACAAACATTCTCTAAGTGCCTACTAGATACAAGGGAGTTTTAAGAGCCAGTATAACAGTGAATAGGGAACTGGCCTTGGAATCAGGAAGACCTAGATTCAAGTCCTACTCTGACATATATTAGCGATATAAGTCACAACCTCTCAGTGTAACAGGCAACTTTCCAAGGCTGTAAATTATGGACCATTTGCTAAACTACATTGGTGGAGGGATTTCCACACCAGAGAAGTTTCTATACAATTATAGACCCAGATCCACTTCAGGCCCATCAGTAAAGAAGACAATGACAACTACAACTTTGCTAAGTGCTAGGGATGCAAAGACATTGAAATAATTCCCAACTTTTATTCTATACCCTTTATTATCAAGAGTATGCATTTTCAAGTAGGAGAAGACAGTTTTAAGTGGTGGGCTGCTATTCTGGGGATAGTCTGATACTGATACTTGTTTTTTTCCCTCTGAAGGAAGTTATCTGGCCCAACCCAAAACTGAGTCCATGACCTTGGTTCCCCTAGTACAGTGAAAGATAGCAGATTTCAAATTTGATGCGGACTACCTTGCTGTAGTCTTTCTAGACCACAGAGAGGAGTAATGTCTGTGAAGAATGCATCCTACTGGATCTCAGCCCATCAGTCATTTTAGAGGCAGTTCTAGACTTAAAACTTTGTTGAAAAGGCACCAGCGGGCATGTTCACATTCCATGTGGAGGTGCCCTTAAAATGCACACACAATGTGAAAAGCACCAGTCCAGCTGGTACCCCAGTCCCACTTGGGTAGATTAGACACTTGTGATCTGAGGGAGCATGGAAAGTTTCTCATTCAACTTCCTTATTTTAGGGATGAAGGAATTAAGGTCTAGGTGATTTGCACAAAGTCACACTACAAGAGTGTAAATGTCAGGCAGAAGTTGAAACCAAGACTCTAGAACTAGTTCTCTTTCCACTGCATTAATCATCCTTCCTTCTTGTTAATAGTTATTGCTTCCTTTTGTGGGAACTCATCACTGAAGTACATCACAATTGGTTGAAATTTTATGCTTGGTTTCTACTCTTGAGATGGCAAGATTATATTAGTGAAGCTAAACAATGATCATGAACCCGGCAAGCTAAAGAGGGCTAGGAATAATGGGTGGTAGTTGTAGAGGCAGAGATAAGGCTTATCTATATAAAGAAAAAGTTCTTAACCATCAGAGATGCTTAAAAGTAAAATGGGTAGAGGGTTGCTACTCATCTGGTGCTTTTCAAGCAAAAACTGGGTGATCACTTACTGGGAATGTTGTAAAATAGATTTGTCTTCAGGTACAGGTTGGGCTAGATGATTTCTGAAGTCCCTTCCAATTCTGAGATCCTGTGACCTTAATTCTGTAAACTACTACATTTGTACCTAGTGGACACAACTGAGTGCCTAATTTTATGTTAATTATTTTTAGTTTTTCATAGCTGCTTCCTGTATTTGTCTTAACTCCCCAACTAGGCCATATTTTCCTTGTGGAGAAGAACCATTGTTTAATACCCTTTATGTATTTTATGAAGAGAAGATATAATTTAGAAGCATTTTCCTCTTTGCATCTAGAAAGTTACCAATAATGTGCCCACTCAACCATTTTGTATGATTGGCAAGTCCCATCCTCACTTTTAGATAGATATATCCTTTTCTGTATTCTTCCACAGAAAACTGAGGAATGCACACGAAGACATAGGAAGAACCATGCATAGGCAAATTGATCCATCTCCAATCTCCCTGCCTTTGCATTAGCTGTCCCTGATGCCTAAAAATACTCTTTCCTTACCTCTGCAATCTTAAA